ATAACCCTCGTTGCCATTTTGCATGTTTGACACCAATCCCTGCTACTTCTACAGATAAAAAGGCATATAATCTGATTTTTAAAGGTGTGCAATGCTGTGTAATGTATAAGTAAAAAGAGATTGACAAGCTTATGCAACTGAAATGGCAGCCTGGGAAAAGCTCCCATCCTAGAAAGGAAGTATTTGCCCCATTTCTGTGTTCATAAGCATTGTACGAGTTCGGATCAGCAGAGCCATCTTATCTTGGCAATGTCCTACCAGCTCAGCAGACTGTTGGTCGTGTTTTCTTGTGGGTTGCATTGTGTCATAGCTATGCTGCTTTCTATAGAGCTAATGGGACACTGCCAAGAAGCTGTTTTTTTTTTTTCATCAGAATTGCTCATATAGCCCCTGACAAGGTCTCATAAACAATATCTGTTATGCACTGGCTATTGTTCAATGCCCAAAAGAGGATACAGAGTACAAATAAAAAGCAAACCCAGAGAACCCAGCACCACGGGGGTACTGAGGTTCAGATCAGCCAGCCAACCAACCAACGCAACAACCAGGCAGGCAGACAGACAGACACAGTGAGTAGCGAGACCTTTTCAGTGAGCCAGAAGCAAATCTCAGCGGAGTCGCTAGCAGTAGTCGCCAAAATGACCGTCTATGCAGTGCGCTCCCCTCGGCCACAGGCCAAAAAGATGTCGGCAGTGCAGTCTCAACTAAAATCTAGAGAAGTTCGCGTTGCGTTCTGTTGAGTACTGTTACGTTTGGCCCGGCAATTCGTCTGGGCAGACGCCATTGTGCGTAAGCCAGTCTGCTACGGATGCTTTCAACCCCATCAGCGCCCAGTCGGCAAGACGCTGCCCTGTAGATGTTCCAGGAAGCAGTCGGGTCTTAACGAAAACTTCGCGAGACAAGCCTTTTGTAGAACAGGCTCGAATAGTGGGGGGGGGGTGGGGGGGAAAGCACCACTGTGGCGGCTCTCATTAGGTCAACCTCTCAACTCGGCTATTGTCCTCTATGCGAGGCCATCGCAAAGCACCGTCAGTCCGAAAGTGTGGGAAGACGACGAAGGAGCCGTTCTCAGGGATTGAGCGTTCGGACTGCCTAAAGCTGAAAGCAGCATGGACCGCTGTTGACGTTCGGGTCCGCGGCCATCTCCCCGGAGGAGCTCAACCTTCCCTCTCCGGACTCTATCTCCTCGCCCTGCGGCGCCTTCAAGGTAGGGGCCGGGTGCGTCATTGTGTAGTGCACTTGTGCTCCCATTAGACCATTGAGACTTCGTCACTGATTTATGGCGAGAGTGTTCACCGCTTTCTTCGGATCTCCGTAGAAAGGAGACGGCGGGCTATAAAAGCCGAAGCATTTTGTAAATAAGAGCAGAATCACGTGGAATCATGAGCGGAATCATGAACTGAATCTTTGTTGTACATATTGCGGGATCTTCTGGATTCCTGTACAGTTCCTATCTGTCTTCCATAATGTAAATAAATCTTCGTTCTACCTCTTAACGCACCCGGCCCCCACCTTGATATCAAGGCTACGACTACTTCTACCTCACTAGCGAAGATCAGCCATGAGGACGACTGCGGGGAGCCAGCTACCCTAATGAGAACCCATCGTACCTACCATCATCAAACTCCCAGCCCTTTACAACTGGTTGGCAGCGGTGAGATAGACTCACCGCAGAAGTGTACGAAGCAGAAGTGTACGAAAAGTCACCTAAGCATCCACCTCTCAGCTGCGCACTCGTGATACCACAGTGCACCACAGTGTGGTGAACTCTTAAAGTGTGCCACAATGTCGTACACTTAGAGTGTCGCACTGGCACTCTAAGTGGCACAGTGTGGCAAAACTGGCACTCTGTGGCAAAATTATGAATGATTGGCTGAGTTCTACAGCTATTACAACAGGCTAAATCATGATAAAAAATGCACTTTCGACAGGGCTTGATTATGATAGCAAAAGCACTGCACGCCAGTGAGCCATATTATTTTGTGCCCTTGAATGAGCATGCTGCGAGGTCTTGCGTACCGTGATCTAATCGGCAATTTCATGTTTCAGAAAAATGCTAGTGCCCAGTTTTCTTACAGCTTCATTCATAAGGTGTGTGTCATAACACAGTTACTGTAAGAAGATGAATCAGTCTTCAAAGATGACCGCATTTTCGCCTATAGATCCAAACAACATTGAGATTAAGTGAAAGTGTATGGGCGCACTTTACAGGCGTAATATATAAGCAAGGAACCCTGTGAGCTGAAGTCGTGGATGGCAGAGGCATGGAAAGAAATTTTGTTCAGAGAGGCACCACCTTGATTAGAATTAAAGGCCGGGCAGGCAGATGTGGGCAACCAATATTTTGTGCTGTATATGCTTCGGGAAAAAATCTTGGGGGGCAGGGACCTGAGGGTGGTGTACTACGCCACTGGCGGGCGAAAACTTGTGTGGTCCAGCACACACATGAGGACAGACACCCGGGAAGGAGGGTGGGTGGATTGCGCAGACTGCGGTAAAAGTTGATTAATATGTGGGGTTTAGCGGCTTGAAACCACCATTTGATTATGAGAGACACAGTAAAAGTTACATTGGCGAAGGAAGTAAGCTTTGGCAAAGACTGGAGCGACATATGTATGATGTGAGAAAGAAGGTTTCGTGGAACACTCTGGCCGAACATGCAGAAGCAACTGGCCACAAAATAGACAGCCGTAGGTTAAAATTGACAGAAATTATGAGAAAAAATGACTTCCAGGCTTTATATTGACTCTCTGACAATCGGGCAACGGCACTCATTCTTAAATGTAATGACTGCAACTTGCCCCACATGTAGCTCATACGTCGTAGTATATTATATACATCACCGGACTATTTACACAGTCATGTTTCTTTGGGAACGAGGCTCCCGGGCGGAAACTGAAACGTCCTGCTTGTTTGTAAACATTCGTGGTTAGTTCTCATTTTAACCCCATGGGCTTTAAATAACCAACCACAACAACAAAGAGGAAGAGAGGTGACAGTGGCACTGCCAGCAGCCGTGAAAGTGGCATTGCGTACGTAGTGCACTGTGACATGCCGCTGATAACATTTACTGCAACTTTCTGAATTGTGTTTCCTCCAGAAGGCAAAACAATGCTGTTTAAAAGTGCAAACACTACAAAGTCATGGTTAAAAGAATGCATCTGTGAGGATTCGAGAAAAACGGCAACGACGAAGGTGCGGGACAAGGCACGTGCGATTACGAGGCAACTGTGCGCCAATCAGCTGATGACTAGCGGTGGCCCATAGAAGTGGCGTGCCACGATTGGGCCAGGTGTGATCATTACGTGTCGGTAAGCTTTGTGGCTGGGGATGAGCCGGAGCAGCGGCAGACGGAAGACAGCGGGCCGAAGTGTCGGACGCAGGCGATCCAGTTTCCGGCCAGGGAACGCGGCCGTCCACGCTGCTGCCGTCCAACCACCAGCTGGGGCGGCATTGCCGGCACGAGTACTGCATCTCGGGGCACGGCCTGGCCTGCTGTTCTCTTCCTTGCCGAGGGCATCGCGGATCTCAGCGAGGCGTCTCCACGGTCAGCCGTTCGGCACAGCGATGAACGTGGCCTGGCTAATGGTCACGGTTGCGCCGAGCATCGCGTCTCGACGCAAGCTGTTCGCTGGACGGGCTGGCCATTCCCCGTATGGAGCATCGCGTCTCCGATGCGGGTTGACTACTCCGTAGCCGCACCCATGCCATCAAGCACCGGTGTCACCAGAGCGTCGCACATCGGCGAGGGACGAGCGAGACGTTCTGCCGGGCGAGACGCGGGCGTGTGTTCGGAGGACCACGGAGCCGGTTGAGATTCAGGGTGGCCGAGGATCCAGGTGCCAGGGGAGTTCTGGCTGAATCGAGGATCGCCGAGCGGTGCCGAGCCGTACCACGCGTCGCGCCAGACTTGGACGTGGGCCGCGAGCTCATGAGCTGCAGTGTGCACCCGAGGGTACCTGGCGGTGCCCTGGCCAAGAAAAAGGAACGTGGGAAAAAGAGCTCGAGGGTTGAGGCCATGAAGGAAGACGATGCGGTGCGCCGCTTGAAAGGACGAGTTCCTGGCAGCGTTCCTGAGTCGGACGTGGGACCCGTACGTGTCGGCCAGGTCGAACCCCGGTGTGTCTGTTCGAGGTCGAGTCCGTCGGCCGGTACAAGGTCTGCTTGCGAACCGAGAACTATACGCGCTGGACACTGAGTAAGCGTAGCTGCGAGCTCTCCGCATAATAGAGGTCTGACTCTCGTGCAGGTGGCGTGATGCTTGGCGTGTAGGGTTGGATATATAGTTTTATTTTCACCTGCCATTTCCTCTCTAGTGTGCAATATAAAGCTTTTTTTGTTCGCATCAATTGTTGATGTTAATCCTTTCTCGTCCGCTATCAACAAGCATAGTGACAAACGTCCGTAACCATCACAGCATCCAACTGCCAGCTTTCCTTCGCCATAGTGAGGTGACATCATGTGATCAAACCTGAACGTCATAGCGATTGCAATGCCCACGCCTGCAGTGGTGAGGCTCGCGTCCGACACCATATATAAGTGAGATTGCTCGGCGGCTGACAATCGTCATTTGTGGGGCCATTAGTCTCAGCCCTGTGCTATCAGCACTACATTCAGAATATCACAACCAGGAGGTGTGATGTACCCAAGTCGTCAACAGGGTACATCGTGCAAGGTGATAATATTTGTAGCGCCACGCTAGATTTGGCTAAGTGGATGCGCCGTAAAAGAAGCGAGCCGCGTGGTTCGTGTAGCGCGAGCCACGAGGTATTTGAGAACGGCCTAGCTTTGGAACCCGGCTTGACGCTGCAGTGGTGACTCTGCCTACGCCTGCGTCCAGAATTAAGCTTTGACCTTGCCAGGGGCTCGTCGCGACCGTCTCGCCTTTACTTCCACGACATTTGGTTACCCAAAAAATATACCTAACGCCGAGCAGCCCGTTGCCATGCTTCCGCAACTCTGCCCTCCAGTTCTGCCGTTTCACCCGGTCTACCCCGAGCATGTTTTATGCGGCTCGATGCCATTTTCGCAGTCAATGGCATCAAGGCACAGCCGATGATGCATGCTGTCCTGCTGGATGCTTCCCAGTTGAAGTGCGTCATCTAGTCGCCGAGTCATCCTCCAGGCCGCGACCCTTCGACGGCCTTTGCGCTGCGGTGCTCGCCTGCTACGGTGAAACCTACTGCCCGCTTACGGGTAGCCGCGAGTTACAGGTGTCTCCTCCGCCCCAGCGAGCGGTACCAAGCGGTCCGCAGCCTTCCATTGACCATTACCTTGATATCAAGGCTACGACTACTTCTACCTCTGATCCGGTCGCAGGAACATCGAATCCTGCACCTGACCACGACCAAGAGGTAGAAGACGCCCCCACTGCGACTGACCCCCCCTCCGAGAAGTGCATTCCCTCAGAGCCCGCGTACGCAGCTACGTCACACTTGCCTGCCATCTGCACATCTTCCGCGATATCGACGGCACGCGACACCATGGACCCACCCGACTTCACGACAGCTACCTTGCCGCACACCTCAGAGTCTAGCGCAGACAACCTTGCACCCGCTGTTCATCTCTCGGTAGCAGAACCTTCAGTATCCCTGATGTCGGAGGGCGACTCTCTACCAACCCCTACGCTCTGCGTGTCCTGCCAGCAGCGACCAGCATGGCCCTCACAGTTTGCCGCAGCCGAAGTTGAAGCCAACAGCCATCAAGCGTGGCCAAACTTCCGAGACGCTGCGACTATGACCGACGCTCCTAAGGACGACATGCCTGGTCCGCCAATGACACAACAGACTGCACCTTGTGTACCACTCACACAGGCGGACAACCACCAGGCTGCCTCGACGAACACGGGTACGCCAGCCGACCTTCTGATAGAGCCCCCGCCTACTTGGTCTCACGACCGCCCTCCGGTGTCCTTGAAGGGTGACACGACCTCGCAACAATCCACCTTGAATTCAGACGTGCCCCTTGCCACAGCCCGGGCGTCCTCTATGGCGGTGGCGCATCGGCCGACCAGTCGCTGTGGACCTGCTTGCCTGCCGTGACCTTTGTGTGCTTCTTCGAGCACGGCGTTTCCACATCCGTCGACTCGGCCACCCTTTATTTCGTTTAGCTATTTCATCTGAGCTAAATCATACCAATTAAACTTTTAGGACTCAGTTCACACTATATTATCTTGCTCTTCGGTCACTTGACCAGTTGATTACTAACTTGTTCCTAATGTTAGTATAGGACTGTAGGTGAACCTGTCTTGCTCGTGCATTCTCGTTCTTCCAACTGGCATAACTTGCACATTCCTCGAGTTCTTCCACTACATCAGTCAATAGTAATTTAAAATGCTCATGAAACTCACCGCTTCCACGGCTGTATAACTAAGAGCTTGAGCAGATGACTCCTCTAAAACTTGTCTTTGACGTGACCATTGGCGCCACTATCGTGTCTGTCGCCAGCGCAACTTTTAAGCTTTCCCTAGGTATAAATTTTTTCCAGACTCTGTCCTATAGGCCCCTTTCTTCTATCAGAAGCAAGACATTTTACTTGCGCCCATGCTGGTGACTTGCTCATGATAATGCATGAACAACTTAAGCTCTTACCTGATTCGGCTTTAATTTTGGTAAAAATGCCATGATGATACGTGTGAACGGCCACCTAATAATCCTAGCTTAGGAGAACAAATTTCTGATGTATTTTTCCTGGCATCAGGTGAGCTTTCCGAGTTTAACCATATGAGACGACCTTGAGAGAATGAATATTCTTGGAAACATTCTTGGATATATATTTCGTGTACTTTCTTCAGTATACTGTGTTGGGAGTTCCTTCGGATATCTTCAAATGCAATGAGACGAGACTGTTCTTCAAGATGCTCTCGGAGCATTTCCGGGAGAATCATGCTCCGGCGGGAAGTTTTGCAAGGAGCACTTACCAGTAATGGTAGGTGCCAGAGCCACCGGTACAGAAAAACTGCTTCTTCTTGTAATTGGGAAGGCGAGATATCCTAGGTGTTTTAAGGCGGTGAAGACCCTCTTTGTGAACTACAACAGTAACTCCAAGGCGTGGATCATGCAGTCTTTATTTGAGAAATACCTACGCGAACTTGACCGCAAGTATATGCAACAAGGCTGGAAAGTGATATTTTTTGTTGACAACTGTGGCGCGCACGGTAGCGTGCCGAACCTTGAGGCCATTCAGCTTGAATTTTCGCCACCTAACACCACAAGCGTGCTCAAAACAATGAATCAATGCATGATCCGAAACATCCAGGCACACTACCATGCCTACCTGCTCATGGCATGGATCATGTGATCAAAGCTGAACGTCATAGCGATTGCAGTGCCCATGCCTGCAGAGGTGAGGTTCGCGTCCCACACTATATATAAGTGAGATTGCTCAGCGGCTGACAACCGTCATATGTGGGGCCATTAGTCTCAGCCTTGTGCTGTCAGCACTACATTCAGAGTATCACAACCAGGAGGTGTGATGTACCCAAGTCGTCAACAGAATACATCGTGCAAGGTGATAATATTTGTAGCACCACGCTAGATTTGGCTTAGTGGATGTGCCGTAAAAGAAGCGAGCCGCGTGGTTCGTGTAGCGCGAGCCACGAGGTATTTGAGAACGGCCTAGCATTGGAACCTGGCTTGACGCTGCAGTGGTGACTCTGCCTACGCCTGCGTCCGGAATAAAGCTTTGACCTTGCCAGGGGCTCGTCGCGACCGTCTCGCCTCTCCTTCTACGACATTTGGTTACCCAAAGAACATACCTCACGCCGAGCAGCCCGCTGCCATGCTTTCGCAACTCTGCCCTCCAGTTCCGCAGTTTCACCCGGTCTACCCCCGAGCATGGTTTATGCGGCTCGATGCCATTTTCGCAGTCAACGGCATCAAGGCACAGCCGATGATGCATGTTGTCCTGCTGGACACCCTCCCAGTTGAGCTGCGTCATCTAGTCGCCGAGTCATCCTCCAGCCCGCGACCCTTCGACGACCTTTGCACTGCGGTGCTCGCCTGCTACGGTGAAACCTACTGTTCGCTTCCGAGTAGCCGCGAATTACAGGTTTCTCCTCTGCCCCAGCGAGCGGTACCAAGCGGTCCGCAGCCTTCCATTGACCATTACCTTGATATCGAGGCTACGACTACTTCTACCTCTGATCCGGTCGCAGGAACATCCAATCCTGCACCTGACCAAGAAGTAGAAGACGCCCCCACTGCGACTGACCCCCCCTCCGAGAAGTGCATTCCCTGAGAGCCCGCCTACGCAGCTACGTCACACTTGCCTGCCACCTGCACATCTTCCGCGACATCGACGGGACGCGACACCATGGACCTACCCGACTTCACGACAGCTACCTTGCCGCACACCTCAAAGTCTAGCGCAAACATCCTCGCACCCGCTGTTCACCTCTCGGTAGTGAAACCTTCAGCATCCCTGATGTCGAAGGGCGACTCTCTACCGACCCCAACGCTCTGCGTGTCCTGCCAGCAGCGACCAGCATGGCCCTCACAGTTTGCCGCAGCCGAAGTTGAAGCCAACAGCCATCAAGCGTGGCCAAACTTCCGAGACGCTGTGACTATGGCCGACGCTCCTAAGGACGACATACCTGGTCCGTCTATGACACAACAGACTGCACCTTGTGTACCACTCACAACGGTGGACAACCACCAGGCTGCCCCGACGAACACGGGTACGCCAGCCGACCTTCTGATAGAGCCCCCGCCTACTTGGTCTCACGACCGCCCTCCGGTGTCCTTGAAGGATGACACGACCTCGCAACAATGCACCTTGAATTCAGACGAGCCCCTCGCCACAGCCCAGGCGTCCACTACGGCGGTGGCGCATCGGCCGACCAGTCGCTGTGGACCTGCTTGCCTGCCGTGACCTTTGTGTGCTTCTTCGAGCACGGCGTTTTCCACGGCCGTCGACTCGACCACCCGCACCAGCACGGCAGCCGCTCTGTAACGCTTAGGTCGCTGTTTCGTCAACGGTTGCGTCCGCATCAGCACAGCCAGCCAACTGCTGTTTATCGACAGCCTTGTTGGCACCATTTGCGCTGTCGGAGACTCCGCCACGACCATTCCATATCATTCCTCGGTCATCATGGCTCCGCTGTGATCCATCAGACCGCTTCGCCCACATCACCGATGCGGGTTCTTCAGCGCCTTCCCGCGGCTCTGGATGGGAGCACATTTGTCAGACGCGTCCACTTCAACCGCCGGATTCGCTCTCGAATTCTCCCGCTGAGTGGTCGTGGGACACACGAGTCTATGACCGCAGTTACCCGGCGCTTTCATCTCCGTCCACTGTGTTTCTCCCAGTGTCGCCCGCCAGAGACCCACTGCATCCTGATGGCTTATACACGTTGACAACCTGGACTTCCCAAATGGACACTTTATGGATTATCGTTCATGTCTATAGCATCTGTTCCTCCCTTTCTTTTGCACATATGTTTTAAATTGCGCAGAGCGCTAGAGGGGAAGCCTATGTAGCGCCACGCTAGATTTGGCTAAGTGGCTGCACCGAAAAAAAAGCGAGCCACGTGGCTCGTGTAGCGCGAGCCACGAGGTATTTGAGAACGGCCTAGCATCGGAACCTGGCTTGACGTAGCGGTGACTCCGCCTACGCCTGCGTCCCGAATAAAGCTTTGACCTTGGCTCGGGCTCGTCGCGACCGTCTTGCCTTTCCTCCCATGACATATCCATATACCTCCACCCACAACCTTGATAACTCCAAGGACAACAAGAGGGGTCTTGGGGTCAGAACTCATGGGTCGAAATGCCTCAACAATAGTGATGGCACCTTTCTGAGAGCAATTTAAACTCTGGAGCGGAGGAAGATGTACCCTATGCAGTCATTCGAAAGTGTCTTCTAGGCCCATCCTAGGGTTGAGCAGAAGGCATTCAAGGGGCCAGTTGAGACCTCGCTGAACTGGTTTGTGGTAGAGGGAGGTTCTCAATGCTATCACCAGACTGCACTGGTGAGCTGTTTGAGCGGCGTGCGGCATGTGCAGATGTGGCACGCTGGTCCTGCGGCACACTGACAAGTTCACAGGTCAGAGATTTGCACAATGTATCACTTTCTGTTGGTGGTCTCAGGCCTATAAAATCAATGATGTCTGGCACAGTTACCAGCGTCAAGGTGGGCTACCATGCCTCAGCTGCTCGGTCTAGAATTCATGCCCTCTGCTGCTGTGTAGGTGCGCCAGCTCGGGCTGCAGTGGGCAACGTGATGCTATTCAGAAGGACTGAAAGCCAGCGCACGACTACGTAGACACAAGAGCGGTCTGTTTCTTTTTCTTTTGCATCCACGTAGTCGTGCACAGCATTAAAATATTCTCGTGGTGCTATTCAATGGCTTGTTTCGGTGACCACGGTGCTACATCTGTTCAGAGCATCATGAAGATGTTTTCTATAAAAAGTGAAGCCCTATTTGGGATTTCTCCAACATACAGCAGTGATGGTGCAAGTTTGCTACTTGCAACTAGTACATTTTTAGTGCACCAATAATAGCACTTCCTTTTATATATAGAACAAAACATTAGAAATTATTCAAAGGTGTTTTCAGTGTGACAACCATAGGATAATATGAAGAAATATGACACAGTTGATTCTGTGACAAGTTCACAGGCCAGAGATTTGTAGAACACACAACTATCTGTTGGTGGTCTCGGTCCTATAAAATTGATGATGTCTGGCGCAGTTGCCATCGCCAACGTGGACTACCATGCCGTTCAGTTGTTTTGTCTAGAATTCATGCCCTCTGCTGTTGCGTAGATGCGCCAACTCGGGCTGCTGTGGGCAAAATGGTACTATTCAATGGCTTGTTTGAGCAACCATGGTGCTACATCTATGCAAAGCATCATGAAGGTATATGTTTTCCATGAAAAGTGAAGTCCAACTATTTTTGGTCTTGCTCCAGCATACAGCAGTGATGGTGCAAGTTTGCTACTTGTAACTAGTGCATTTTTAAGGCATAAACTAAAGTACTCACTTTATTATATGGAGTACGACATTATGAATTAATAAAGGGTATTTTCAATGTGACACAACCATAGGGTATTATGAAGAAACATAGACATACGATGCAATTGATTCTGCACTCTTGTTCGACCTGCGGCCACAACGGTCAGGCACCGAGCACAATGGTTAAGGCCAGCGCCTGATGTTGCAGTATCGCAACAAAAGTGCCACGAAGATCTATGTTTTGATAAGTTAAATTTATTTTGTTTTGATTAATGACTGTTTTGTTAGTTAAATGGCAAATTATATAGCTCTTATACTGGTGCACTTGTGACAAATGCTGACCAGTGCACACACACAAAAATGAGTATTGCTGTCAAATCCCAGCTGTTTGGGGCCAACTGAATAAAGTGGACAACTACTGCACCATGCGCCACACACTTTCCCCACTCATTTGTTTGGGCAGCAATTATCACAAGTAAACAGGAGGCAACTAAAGTTCAACAATCTCACTTATCTCAAGCATGCCGAAGAACTATGACAAGGCAACACAAGGCAAGCTGCCGGCTTCTGGGCTGCCAGAGCACCAAGCTCTGGTGGATTTGGCGGACGGCTCATGCTTTCATCTAGAGCTCGTTTCTCGCTTGAGAAAACTTGTTGGAATGACCATGGTGGCACGGCAGGTAGTCGAACTTTTTATGTGCCGCATTACATTTCCATAAATACAAATAGATAACGAAGTCTGCTCGTACCTTATTATAACAGTGTAGATGACTTATGCACTATGCTTCCTTTTAGCATGATTGCTGCACGCGGAAGTCCAGAAAAATATAGGCTGGTGTTTCCATCTCCATGTGCAAATAAGTTACATGTAGCCTCTTCCACTATTCATGTGCCAACAAATAGGCGGCCAATACACAAGTACAATTATAGGCACTTGTGCCTATAATTGCACTTTTATGAATACAAGGGCCTATAGAAGTGTCACTGAGACAACCCAAAAGCTTCCATCAAGAACTCCGGCGAGAAATGATCGGACCACATGCGTGCCGATTCGTTTGGTAACCAGTTGTCCAGCCTGGTCGCATTGACCTGAATTCTTGGAGAGCACTGTCACTTGGAAAGTTCTGATGGCAAGCTCAGCGTCTTTTGTGAGTGGTTTGTGCAACTCAAAACACAACACCAATAACCACCCATCACATGCCCCTCCACAGAAAAGTCCCAAACTGGTAAAGCATCGATAGCAGGCATAGAACCACAGCGGAAGAAAAGAAGCTCCGTGCCAAACATAATTGCCTTGTGGCCAGCAAACCAGACGCTGTAGCAGCCACAGTTAGTAGTGCTCTTGGC